GCAATTTGGGAGACCAAGGAACCTTGCCAGAGGAGGTAGTGCGACAATTGTCTTCAGCCTGCCGCCGTATCATATACATCTGCCGGTGAAGGCAGTTATATTTGCGTGCCAGTGAGGGTGACATCTGTCGTCCATTGGATTCAATGCGCTGATTGAGCTTGGTGAGACGGGACGGGATGTCATACTCCTCGTATCCCAAGTGAACCAGTTGAAGATAGCGTTTGACCGACCGCTTGTCCAAAAGAGTGAGCTTCCGAGGTTTAAAGGTAGACCCCTGGGGTGTGAAATTGCCCAAAGCCGTGTTCAAGTCGATATCGATCCATAGTGCCCTGTGGTCTGCTTCAACAAATTCACCAAATGTGTAGTAGCCACCAGCCAGAACCGGAACACCTGAAGTGGTAAAGATTCCGTCGATGGGAACGTTGCTTTGATTTTGTTGGTGGGTCGCCGTGGGGGGATGCCGTTTCAAAATCGCTTCCTCCATTCCGCACTCACGAAACCGCTGTCGTATGGAGTCCGGGGAGTTGACCGAAAGGTCTTCATTAGCGTCGATCCCCAGCAAAACTTCACAACCCTCGTCCCTCCATTTTTGAATTTGCTTGCACAGGTCATCGACCAATGCTTTGCGGGGATCAATCTTACGTTTTATAGAGTTAAAGTATAGACGTTGTTGGGCCCACACGGTCGATTCCCCCGTACCTTCTCTGTTTGGCCTATATGCCGAGACAACCACTAGATCACGTGAAATCCGACGTCGGACCGCCTCGTTTACGTCTAGTACCAAGCCGGAGGGATCATTACCCCCCTGCGCCTTCAGCTTTTTTCCTTGAAGACGAACGTAAGCCCACCGTCCAAGCCCCGTCAAATCGCTCCCTGATTCTTTAGCTCGGTGCGAGACCTGACTAAGTACTGTCGCAATGCATCCTCCCCATTGAAAGGCTGTAGTTGCTGAATATCGTGACTGCTGTTTATTATAAGCGACAGCCAAATAAAAACCTTTGTGCTTTGCCTTCATCGTAGCTTGATGCATCCTATTGTTCCACCCATGACCCTCTGGGATAGAGGGCCAAAACGTTTTGGCCTCCGCCAACAACGCTATTCCCACTCGCTCATCTTGCAGCCAGGAGTTGATCTGCCGCTGTTTCACATGATCACCTTCCTCCGGAACACCGTTAACGTTCTGGAAGGTGACGCGAGTAGCTAGTGAAGAGCGACAGCGATGGTCATCGCCAAGGCAGTCTCCTGGTGGCAGAGAGCGTAAATATTCATCAAGTGAAGCGTGGGAAACAACACTTGACGGGCCACTAATTCGAGATCTTCTGCCTGCACGCCGTGACCTAGCGGCAGACGACCTGGGGCCTCTCATGGCCCTGCCGCGGAGCGAGGCGCTCCGCAGCCGGCCAAAGAAGGCAACTTAGCAGATCCGCTAGTACCGGATTTGCCAGATGGAGAAGGAAGAAAGAATGGGTGTACACCTCCCGGGGATGCCGCTGTCAGAGATGAGAGGCTTTCGTCCTGGGACACAGCTGTCGTAGTATCACCTTCCATCTGAGTTGTGTCCACCTGAACCTGAGACGTGTTCTGAGAGCGCTGCTTCGGCTGCTGAAAGTGAACAGACGTGCTGGTACGAGTTGACTTAGTGGGCGGCTTAAGACCAGCCTTAGACCTGTCACCTCTCCTCTTAGTCGTGGAAGTATCCTTGCTTTTCCTCTTTTTTGGTGGCGTAGTGAATTCGGACCGATCTGGAGATACCTCATTGTTTTGAGCAGGTGGTTGCGAGTCGATGGCCAAGTGGTGGGCTGTTTGACGTTGAAGGGCGTCAAGTTGGGCTTGAAGAGCCGCAGTCGCGGCTTTCTGCTGAGCCAGGGCCTGGTCTTTAGCCGCCAAGGCGTTGTCACGAGCTTCGATTTCCACAAAGGCATCCT